ACTAATAAATTCATATCTTAATTATCTCTTTCTAACTATCATTCAATACTCAATTCAGTGAAACTCTTATAGTTCTTGATTTCTTTCTGTTGATTCTCTTATATAAGATAGTATATAAGACTTTGAATTCTTATAACAGAGATATAATTTTTAATTTTGAATTGTTTTTATACATATCAACAGCTCTTTACAACTGCTTCTCAGTGTAATTAGAAGATTTAGACATGATTATAATTAATAATGATTATTTGAAGATAAAGAATGAAGATATTGAAAATATTTTCTATACAGTGTGGTTTTCCATACACTGTGGCGCACTCACTACAGAGAGTGAGTAAGCATGGCACGGTTAGTAGCTAGTGAAAGCTAAATATATGTGTGTGGGTCACGTGGGTTAGGGCTTGTGTAGTAGCTCCAACAAGATGCACGAGCTACAAGAGTAGTGAGGCTAGCGAAGGCACGTGTATTGCTAAAACAAAAAATAGGAAAATTATATTGCAATCAGCTGCTTTCAGCTCCCAAATCATATTGATAAGGTTGTATTTTGGTGCGTAGTTGGGGTTAAATTGTTAAATGATAGAGTTCGCTGTCCCCCACGAGACCCGCGTCTGCAATGCCTCGGCTCAATGCTCCCGCCCGCTGGGTGAATTTGCCCGCAGCCGGAGCCAGGTTTCGTGGGCAACGGCACTCCGCTGCAAGAACTGGGAATTCTTGAAACGAAAGTATCGGATAAACAAAAAAATAATTTAACCAATCCCTTTCTTTCTCTCTCTCTCTGTGTCTGCGTTGCCTATTTAACATCTTGTTAAACAAATACCTCTCTCCTCCCCTCCTCTGTATTCTTTCTTGACTGCGGCGTTGGGCAGATTACCTTCCTTCAATTTCATTTGTTCTTCTTTTGTTTAGAGACAGTATTTATCGGTTTCTTCGTTTCCCCGCTCGTCTCAACTGAGCCTGAATTAATCCCATCTGGCACTGGGAACGTAACCCAACTAGCCCATTGACAAGGCAAAGTCAACTCTCCAACTAAGGCCCCATGGCCGGTCAGTCGAAGCCAGTGCGTCTTTCGCCCTTGCAAAGCGCCGTCGCAGGAGCCACAGGAGCTGTACTGGCAAACGGATTAGTATATCCATTAGACATGTGAGCGAGAGCCCTTGATATCTTGCTGTTCTAGTTCTTTGTCCCGAAGGCATTAGAAAGTAAAACTATATTAATATTGTTTGGTCAACCTAGTGTAAAAACGCGGCTGCAAGTCCAAGTTAAATCTTCAACACTCGAAAACGGCCATGTCCCCGGCAGCGACGCAGTCCACTATGATTCGACGATAGATGCAATCAACAAAATCATGGCAGATGAGGGTATCAAGGGTCTCTACTCCGGCATCCATGGCTCCCTCCTCGGAGTAGCGTCGACCAACTTCGCATACTTCTACTGGTACACAATTGTACGAACACTCTACATGTCATCGAACCGCGTACAGAAACCACCTGGTACCGCCGTCGAACTTAGCCTTGGAGCTGTTGCCGGTGCGATTGCCCAGATCTTCACAATCCCAGTCTCGGTCATTACAACCAGGCAACAGACGCAACCTAAAGGGGAAAAGAAGGGCCTATTTGATACGGGGAGGGAAGTAGTTAACAGCGAGGATGGGTGGAGTGGATTGTGGAGAGGCCTCAAAGCCAGCCTTGTTCTTGTGGTCAACCCTGCCATTACATACGGAGCCTATCAGAGACTAAAGGACATCATATTCCAAGGCAAGAACAGTCTGAAACCATGGGAAGCTTTTAGTCAGTGAAAAACCCCTGCAAGAAAAGTAAAAGTTCGGCCTACTTGAGAAAAAAATATTTGCTGATAATGAATGGCAAAACAGTTCTGGGTGCAACGTCCAAGTCCCTCGCGACCATCGCAACCCAACCATTAATCGTCGCCAAAGTCGGGCTACAGTCCCGACCACCCGCGATCCGACAAGGAAAACCGTTCAAGAGTTTTGGTGAAGTTATGAGGTACATCATCGAGCATGAGGGACCCCTAGCTTTATTCAAAGGAATTGGCCCACAAATCCTGAAGGGCCTCCTGGTTCAGGGATTCTTGATGATGACAAAGGAAAGGTAAGAATTTCTCCATCGGCTCTTTACATTAAGAAAGGTGTAATAGAAAAGGCACAAAAAGGTCCCAGACCTGCTAACCTTGCGTGCTCTATAGACTTGAACTGCTCTTCATCCTCTTTTTCGGGTCTCTTCAAAGGATCAAACAGTCCAGATCGAAGAATGCTACAGAGCTGTCAGCAGAGAAGGCAGCTCAGAAAGCGAAAACCTTTCTGCCTGTAACGCTAAAATAAATGCCTTTTTTTTCTTTTTGGTTTTTATCTTTCTTTACCTATGTACTTTCTAAATTTAAATGTTCATTTTCTCTCTTTTTTTGTAATCAGTAAAGATTTTTTTATCTTTTATACTAGATAGTTGAGTTTTTTATTTCATAAACATCTACAACATGGAAAGCTTGTTTTAAAATGACTTTTATATCATACCGGAAATGTAGGGTTATTACACGACCGGATTATGATTATTTCATCATTTTAATCAGCAACACAGTTGTCAAGCTGTTATTATTTATTCTTCTTCTTCTTCTTCTATTATACTCATATACAAGTGAAGCTTATGATGAGTTCTTACATAATGTTAAATACAGATCAAGTGTTGATTATACAGAAAGCGTGTGACCGTGTCTGAGATCAGAATCAGAATATTTAATAATTTCATTATTAATTTAATTAATCTTATTACATGATTTTAAGATTAGATAGTTTCATACTATCTCAGTGAGACTTACTGTCTACTCTTATCACATTTTTCAAATGAGATTATGATTTTCACTTCTCAATTTAAATTATTTTTATTACTTTAAATGACTTTAAATCTTATTTAAGTGTTATTAAAAAGTGTTACTTTTTAAAAAATTAAAAATAGTCTAAAAAAAATCTTAAAATATTTGAAAATAGTAACTTTATATTAAGAATCAGACTATATAAAATTAAATAAGATTACTTTCTTATTTTTTCTAAGTTATAATTTTATTTTAAAATCTGATAAATAGTTACTTTATATATTTTTTAATAATTAATCTCAGTAAAATTCATATTAAGAAATGTATAAGATCAGATTAAATGAAATTAAATATAAAATTTATAATCTTAGTAGTCAGTCTAGTTAAGATTATATTAAAATAATAAGAATATAGAAAATATAAATAAGTGATAATTAAATATATATAATAATAACTTTCTAACTCAGAAATATAGACTTATTATTATTATTATTATTCTTTAATTATAAATATATATAGTAAGTAGAGTGACTATATAACTGTATCTGAGATCAGAATCAGAATTTTTAATAGTTTTATTATTAATTTAACTAATCTTATTATATAGTTTTAATATTAAATAGTAGTTTTATACTGTTTCAGTAAGACTTACTGTCTACTCTTATTATATTTTTCAAATAAAATTATGATTTTCACTTCTCAATTTAAATTATTTTTATTACTTTAACTCACTTTAAATCTCATTTAAATGTTATTAAAAAGCATTACTTTTTAAAAAATTAAAAATAGTTTAAAAAACCTTAAAATGTCTAAAAATAGTAACTTTATACTAAGAATGAGACTAAATGAGATTAAATGAGATCACTTTCTCATTTTTTTCAAGTCATGATTTTATTTTGAAATTTAATATATAGTTACTTTGCATGTTTTTTTTAATGACTAGTCTCAATAAAATTCATACTAAGAAATGTATAGAATCAGATTAAATGAGATTAAATATAAAAGTTATAATCTTAGTAATCAGTTTAGTAGTGAGAAACTATAACATCTATCTGAGAACTTTTAGTTAGAAACATAGAGTTATTTATTATAGTAATTTATATATCTCTGCAGTTATTAGAAATCAGAGATTTTTAAGTTCTTGAATTTAATATATTCTCTGTAAGTTTTGAATCTGTATGTCTTAAATTTCTATATTAAGATTTTACTGAGTAACTGCATCAATTATTCAGTTATCAGAGTGATTTTTGTTAATATTTATATAAGCAGACTTTTAGAAGAAATAAATTATTATTTTTCTATTTCTTTTCTTTTTAAATTTCAACAGAATTTAAAATCCGTGTAATATTTATTTAATTATAATAAATCCGATCATTTCTAAGTGTTTTTAAAGCAGCTTAACTGTGAAAAAATATTTATATTTATTTCAAACTAGTTTCTCTTCTATAAGATTTTATTTCAATAAATTTGAAAGTGTTCACTATTTTAAATGAATTATTAAAAACTTAAGATTTACTATTTCAAATTCTCTGAATCTGAGATAAAATTAATATTATTTTTAATATATTTAATATCTGCTTTTAAGTTATATAAAATCTCATTTATTAATCTATGTAAATAAATTAGAATGAAGTTATTATTTTTACTATTATTATTCTTTTACTATTTTACTATACTTATATATAAGTAAAGCTTATAATGAGTTTATACATAATATTAAATACAGATTAAGTATTAATTATATAGAAAAAAATACAGATATTGAAATTATATTCAAATAATAAGAATATAAAACATATAAAGAAGTGATAATTAAATACATATAATAATAACTTTCTATTTTATAAATATAGAGTAATTTATTAATGTAATTTATATACTTCTAAATTTATTAAAAACTTGAAATACTTGAGTTCTGAATTTGATTCATTTTTTATAAGTGTTAAACTTACATGCTTTGATTTCTCATATTGCAATATTATCAGATAACTGTATAAATTATTTAATTACTGAAATAATTACAATTGAGTTATTTTATACTGATTAAAAAGATTTTTAATAAATACTTTTTATATTCTTTCTTTTTAAACATTATCAGATTGTTTCTTTTATAAGTTAACTATTTTCACTTATACACTTATTACAGCTACTGATTCATGTAATCAGTGGTCATTATCTCAGTAGCTGATTTCAGTCAACCGCTCCACCACGAACTCGCTCGATTTTTCGAATAAGAACCCGCCGATAGATCCATCGAAAAGCCCTCGATCATACGAGCATTCTGACCCCATCGCCGACCGCATACCCTGTGTGGTGGTGGAGTTATCCAGCCAAATGTGAACCGGACATTGTTCGAAGCTCCTGTGTGGGATTATCCCCCGTTCTCCCCTACCACACCACAACCCCGGGCCAGAGTGCCATACAAATTGTAAGGTGAAGTGACCTAGCCATATGCACCAATCTTCTCGATTTTGGAAGATCCCTGACCTGTAGTTGTGGAGATATCCGAGGAGCGACCTCCGCGAAAACCCTGTCCATCTTTGATGTTCCAAAACACCAATGCCAAGTCTCACCCTCGTACCGCCCTTCCCAATCTGGCCCATCCCCGGCAGAAAAATACAAAAAGATACCTCGGCGATAATATCAAGCACATAATCAACAGACTCTTCTGAAGTGCAACCTTCACGGTCCGTCGCCTGTGTATCTAGACTTCAACACCAAGTCTCACCCTTGTACTACCCCTCTCAATCTGGCCCATCCCCAGCAGAACGATACAAAAAGATACCTCGGCAACAGCATTTAATACATAATCAGTGAACAACGAGTCAACAGCACATCTAGACTGGCCGCCGGGATCATGAATTTCACATTTGGTCTCATTTGGTCTGGTCTCATACATTTCTTGGCATGAATCCCGCTGGGACTGGCTATCAAAAAAACATGCAAAGTGACTATATATCAGATTTTAAAATGAAATCATGACTTGAAAAAAATGAGAAAGTGGTCTCATTTAGTCTCATTTAGTCTCATTCTTGGTATAAAGTTACTATTTTTAGACATTTTAAGGTTTTTTTTAGACTATTTTTAATTTTTTAAAAAGTAACACTTTTTGATAACACTCAAATGAGATTTAAAGTTATTTAAAGCAATAAAAATAATTTAAATTGAGAAGTGAAAATCATGATCTTATTTGAAAAATGTGATAAGAGTAGACAGTAAGTCTCACTGAGACAGTATGAAACTACTATCTAATGTTAAAACTGTGTAATGAGATCAGTCAAATTGATAATGAAACTATTAAAAAATCTGATTCTGGTTTCAGACACAGTTACACGGTCAGTCTAAGCACATCAATAACTATAAAATCAGTATACTTTAAGATCTGACTGAGCCTTTGATCCCTGCACAGTGAGATATATTAAATCTAGTTTTAATACCTCAATATTCAATAGATTCTGCAAGGGATTGAGAACAGCAACACTAGATTTCTATTGAATTTAAGAATTAACTCTATATTGATATAATCATTGACAAAGTCTTCTATTTTGAGATATAAATAACCAGTTCCTCTACATCCCGCTGGCAATATTTACATTATCATATAGAAACAGACTTATATTCTCTATAATATCAAGACTCTGAAGAGGGAAAGTCTTGATAGAAGGTATACAGTAGTATATATCTTAGCAGTTTCTATCTTATTTTTCTGCAGCAGTTAATGCAAAAAAAAAAGATCTTAGAAATAGTTTTTTACTTCTCTTGAAAAAGTAAGGTGTTTTTCTCTGGGTTTTATACAATATTCTTACAAAGAATTAAAAACAGAGTTGTTTTCTGTCATAATTTCATATTCTTTTAAGTAAGAATTACTTTTTCAGTGGCTGAAGAGCTTTCATTAATACTTAATTCTCTTTTACACTCTTTATTGACTGATTTGAGTTGCACACTTGTTGTGTGAGGAGAATTGGATAATTTAGAATAAAATTGAATAGTTTTAATCAATTTCTCTGCAAAAAATTGACTTATTTTTTGTCAGTTTTTCTCTCAAAAACTGTCATATCATCTGATTCATTATTAATTGATATCATACTTTTCCTCACTGTATTCCAAGAAAGAGTTTGTAAAGATTTTATTGATTTATCTTAAAAATCACTTTTAGTTTATTAGATTCTCTTTAAAAATCTAACCTAGTTACTGAACTAGTGTGAAAAAAATCAGATGTTTTATACACAAAAGTCTTTTATTCTTCTTTTGAAACAGTCTGATCAACTTTTCAATTGAAAAAAGACTAATAAATCTCTCAACTGAAACAGTCTGATCAACTTTTCATTTGAAAATAGATTAATAAATCTCTCAATTGAAACAGTCTGATCAACTTTTCAATTGAAAATATACTGATAAATCTCTCAATTGAAACAGTCTGATCAACTTTTCATTCAGTGAGTAAAATGAGTTCAAGAGTACACTCAGTTGATATGGAAAAAGATGTTTTCCCAGATGCTATTTCTGAGATTGAAATTCTAAAGAGAAGAAAGAAGGAAGAAATAGAGAAATAACAAGTTCTTGAAATACAGAAACTGGAAAAAGCAAGCAAAATTCTTGGAAAACAGTGTCTGAGTGAGGAGAATGAAGAAGTTCTGTTAATTCTTCATGCTCAGGCTAGACAACTACAAGAAGTGATCAAGTTCAAACTTGAAATTTCAAACACAATTCAAAAAACATTGAAATCTTCCAGTACAGTCACTGACTCTTTTTCATCTTCTACTTCTTCATCTTCTTCTTCAAATCAGAAGAAAACATATGCTCAAGTAGCAGAATCTGCTGTCTTCAAACCTGCTAGTTCAAAATCTGCTCAAAATTCTGAGAAAACTGAGAAGAATATTTCTCAGATCTCTGTTCATAGAAAGGAAAAAAAAGAAATGCAAAAAGAGAAGAACTTTCAAATCTTCAGAAACAGAAGACTTATTCTCAAAGTCTCAAATCAGAAGAGCTTACAAAAAAACAAGCTAAACTCAAATCTCATTTTCAGAATTAGAAATGAAATTAACCAGCAGTTCTTTTCTCAGTTAATGACTGATATTGAAGTTCAAAAATCAGTCATAGCTTCAATTGAGTCATCTTTCTTTGAAAACTGTATTATTTTGACTACAATGCCTGAATTCAGTGCAGAATTCCTCATTCAGAATGAGAATCTCTGGAAATCAGCAATAGAATCTCTACTGAATACAATAATTCTATCTGAAAGAGATGAAAAGTGAGACAAATTCATTCTTCATGATATTCCAGTTGAAATTTTTGACTGTGAGGAAGAAATGCTGCTTCTCAAAAATGAATTAGAAGAATACAATTCTATTCAACTGAGAAAAGAGCCTGTATGACTTAATTTAATTGAGTTCAGACAGAGTAGAAGAAATGCCTCTGTTCTAGTATATACAAAGACACTTGAACAATCAAGAATCTCTGAAGTAAGAGTAGCAGGTTTGAAAATGAGAGTTCATGAATACAAAGATTCAAGAATGAATCTCAAAGCTCAAACACAGTGTTCAAACTGTCAAAGATATGAACACTTTGCAATCTCTTGTTTCAGAGACTCAAAATGTGCATTCTGTGCTAGAGATCACAAAACTAGTGAGCATAAATGTGAAACATGCTCAAAAAGAGGTGAAATATGTCAACATACTCTGCTTAAGTGCTTCAATTGCAAAGAAAAACATGCATCTAGCTCAAAAGAATGTGTATTTGCTTCAAGAACTCAGAAGAACTGGAGAAAAGATGAAGCTCAAAGTGAATCTAAAACTGAAGAGAAAAGTCAAGCTAGTAAATTCACAACTGCAAGCTTAAAAAGAAGAAACTCTCAACTATCTAGATCTTCAAACTTCAATTCTTCAGCTAAATGTAAACAGAATTTGAATCCTCAAACACCTGTTAAGATTAGAGAATTGAGAAATGACTCTGATAATAAACTAGATAGAATGCAAGCAGTTGAGATTCCTGCTTTTCAAAATAGTTATAATTTACTATCTGATGATAGTGATTAGATTCTACTATATCTTCACTCTCTTTTAGTATGAATGTACAACAAAAACAACAAAAAAAGTTTAAAAACTCTTCAAAAATCACATTTATTCAAAATAATGTGAATAGAAACTCAAATTGCATTTATTCTTGTCTTCAGATTACATTTGAACAAAAGGTTGACTTTGTACTTCTTCAAGAACCAAATTTTGATACTGAGCAAAAGTACATCATTTCTCATTCAAGCTATTACTGCTTTCTTCCTGAAAAATCTGAGATAAAATCAAGAGTAGCAATCTATGAGAGAAAAAGATCAAGATATCAATTTAATCTGAGATTTGATATCATATCTGACTCTGACATTCTAGTGAGTGACATTATAGATAAAGATAATGAGTTTAATACTATTCAACTTATAAATATCTATAATGAAAAATCATTGAAAGAAAACAACAATACCTGGACAATTAATAGAGGATTTTTGAATATAACTCTCTTAAAAAACTCTATAATTGCAGGAGACTTCAATGCACATCATCTCTGATGAAACTCAGAGTGCACAAGAGCAGTAAGAGCAGATAAACTGGTTGAATGAACTTTTAAGCATTCAATAGATTTAGTTAACAAGTCTGATCAACAAACATTCTTTAGAAAAGACATGAAACAGAAATCTATTATAGATCTAACTTTCATATCACAAAATCTAATTGAAAAAAGACTTATAAACTGGTTTATTGATTCAAATGAAATCTCAGGATCAGGTCATGAGATCATTCAATTTGATATTGAACTGAGTGAAAAACAAAGAAGTGAAAATCCTCTTCTCTCTAATCAGTATAACTTTGAAAAAGCTGATTGAAAAGCAGTTGAAGAAAGAGTAAAACAGCTGAAATCTGAAAGGCAGAGTGAGCTCTATTGAAATCAAAGTCAAGATATATCAAATGAAATGCTTAAGAATAGAGCAAAGCTGATTACATCTATTCTTCTAACAAGTATTGAAGAAAATATTTCAAAGAAAAAGTCTTCTGAGTATTTCAAACCTTGATGAAATAAGAATATCACTTCTAAAAGAAAGCAATTAGTCACTGCTAAGAGAGATTGGAAGAATCACTTAATATCTGATGAAGAGTTCAAAGCTATTCAAAATGAATATTTTTCAGATATTAAAAAAGTCAAAACAGATTGCTGAAACAAATTTCTTGAAGAAGTACAAGAAAAAGAAGTTTTCAAAGCCTTTAACTATACTAAAACAAGAAGTGTAGCAAAGCTTTCAACCTTAGAATATGAATTTCAGAATGAATTATATACAGCAAATTCTTTTGAGAAAAAATATCAAGCTTTTATAAGAATTCTCTTTCAAAACTCATCATCACATTTAGAAGAGAAGAATATGTCATTTCATGAATATATTGATGAAAATAACTGGGAATGACCTGAGCTTACATATGATGAACTAGAGTCAGCAATATTCTCAAGTTCAATTAAAACTGCTGCAGGGCCTGATTCAATTAATCACTCAATTATTCAAAACACATATTCCTACTTGAAGAATGAATATTTTGAGCTCTTTTTCAATCTCTTAAAAAATGATTATCATTCTGAATGCTGGAGAGAAGATACTGAAGTAATCCTTGCAAAACCTAATAGAAAGACTTCAATTTCTAAGTTATATAGAGTAATATCTCTGTTGAACTGTTTGAGAAAAATTCTAGAAAAGATAATAGCTACTAGATTATCTTTTATAAGCTCTATTAGTGATTCTCTTCTATTTAATGAACAAATGAGAGATAGAAAACAATGTTCTGCAATTGATACTGTTCTCTCAGTTATTCATGATGTTCAAGTAGCAAAGCATGAAGACCTGGTCTCAACTGCAGTTTTTATTGA